CCTTAAAGATGGGACTCATAGATTACTGAAAGCAAGAAGCTATTTGTAACATATTTGCTTGCTTGATATCCAAAAATTGTTCAGTTCAGAAATAACTAAGACTTGATTTCACCATCTCTGGAAAATAAAGACCAAATATCCTAAAAAAAGAACAGAATGGAAAATGAAGCTAATGATTGTCACAGAAGCAGAGAAATGAGCCCAGGGAGGAATGCCTAAAACAGCGCAGGCATCAGAATGAGGGCCTTCAAGGCCACCTGGTTCACCACGTGGCTGCCTGGCGGTAGGTCTCAGGGAAAACGTAGAGGGCCACTGGACTGAGGGGAAGGGCGGGCTGTGACAACCTGTTGGGACTCATGGCTTTGTGTGTTTGTTTTTTGAAATTCTTGTGACCATGCTTGGTGACAGTGCAGTATGGGGCGAGAAACTAGGTTTGCAGTCGGATGACTTGAGTCCTGGTTGCTGGCGTTTGTAGCTTGGTTTCTATTGTCACATTCACTGCTGCAGGACAAACAAGAAATGTTTTCATGTAATTTCTCCTACACTTAGGCTTTTCTTGGGTGCTTTTGTCTGTCCTTAGACCCCTATCTTCTGCTGAGTGTAAATACTTTTTAAATTTGTACAAACAAACTCACTTGCTGTTAAAATTATTTCACTTTGAAACTAACCCTTTCAAAAGGAGAAAGCCAGCTTAACCTTTTTGTTTATTTGGCCAAGTGCAGAGTTTGCCTCGTGTAACAACAGCCAGGCAGAATTTGCAGTAGGTGATGTTTTCTGGGTTTAGAACAGGCAGAGTATATATAGATTTTCAATAAATAACTGTGATGCAGACGGATGCTAATACATTACCGCTCACTTGCAGGAGAGGAAGGTCAGTGTGTCCTTCTAAGGGACTTTCATGGGGGATATTTGGTACTTTTTGGCATGCAATAGACTTCAGTGTTTCTACACTTATTCTGTGGTATACTCTTAGAAAATGCAATTTCATGCCTTTTCTATTTCAAAGAAAAGTTCTGATAGGCCACTGACAAAACATTCTTAGTATAGTTTAAGCCTATGTATCAGGAAATAGCTGGTTTTATCACTTGTCCTGAAAAAAACATATCACAATGGCATTATCTTAAGTCACAACATACACAGGGTTCCCCATGCACCTACAACTCCCCCAGCATGTAAAATTATTATGTTCTGTGTATAAAATACATGTTTTGACGCACCCCTTGTAACTGGTAGTACCTTTGTATCTGAAAATGTCTGGGTATTTTATAAATCTGCCTTATCTGATATTAATGATATGAAGCAAAATCTTATCTTGATTCCCCCAAAGGCATGTATTTGCCCTTCTTTTTTTCCTCTGGACCATTCTTTTATCCTTGGCTGCCCAACTTCTTGAAGCTGTTGCCTGGATGTGAGTTCAGCAAGGTGTCTCAGTTAACCAGGACCTGCTAAGTCCCTGCAACTGTGAACTGCCCTATACATTCCCTTCTCCTTCTGCCCAGACCTACTAGACAGGCCCAGCCTGGTCTCATTCCTAAAATCCCTGGCTACTTTGGAAGGATGGGCAGGCTCATTCATAGAATGTCAACAGGGACTGCATGATCCTTCCCAAGGAATATTGGAGTTTTGACTGAGGACTTTTACTCTCAACCAAAAGGAGTTGGTTTTAGGTTGAGCATCTTTAATCTGAAAATCTGACATCTAAACTCTTCAGAAATCCAAAATGCCCCCAAATCTGAAACATGTTTAATGCTGATGTGACAGCACACATGGAACTTGTTTCCAGACCATGAAACTTTGTTTCACCACAAAATTATTATAAATACTTTATAAAATTAACTTGTAGCTAGGTGGATAGGTATATGTGGAACATAAATGAATCTCATGTTTAGATTTGGGTCCCACACCCAGGATATATTTCATTGCATATATGCAAATATTCCAAAATCCAAAACCCTCTGGTTCCAAACATTTTGAATAAAGGATACTCAACCCATAGTGGGATTCCAGGCATTAGGGCAGACTTCTGGAAAAGGATTTTTAAAATAGTGAGGACTTTCTGGCCCTTTTCCAGTCAGACCACATGCTATCCTTGCTCACTGGCTTGAATTTTGGTGGCTATAGACATGTCCAGATGGGTGTTGCTCTTCTATGCCTTGAATCCCTGTTCCAGGTGGGGACACTGTGAAAAGAACCTCTACCTCCTGATTGTCAACCAGCACTGCCCACCAGCTTCACACAGAGCAGCTTTGCTGATTTTTGTTTCCTTGAAACATATGGAACATCTCTCAAAAATGGCTTGTTTTTGTTTGTTTTGGTACTGGGGATTGAACCCAGGGGCACTCAACCTCTGAGCCACATTCCCAGCCCTTTTTCAATATTTTATTTAATTTTAAAAGGTATCTTTATCCCTTAATGAGGCATATATATGCATGAACCATGGCTATTATCATTTGAGAAGAAATTTTTTGAGCAAAAGCTATCTTTTCACCAGGATTAACATTGCCAAATAAATTATGCACAGGGGCTGGGGTTGTGGCTCAGTGGTAGAGCGCTTGCCCCTACCACTGGGTTCGATCCTCAGCACCACAAAAAATAAAGGTATGTGTCCATCTACAACTAAAAAAAATACTTAAATAAATAAATAAGTTATGCAGAGAGAAGGGGCAAGGATTCCAGCACTCCTGCCTTTTGTGTGAATCCCTGCCCACAAGTGGTGGATAAAAAAAGACAAAAAGTGCTAGTGTGAGTGCAGGGGCCTGATCTGAAAAATCTTAAAATTTAAATACCTAGATTTTAATTTAAATGCTATAACCCCTTGCTGGTTGTGGATGCAATTCAGCTGGTTTCCGTTACTTCCAAGTGATTTGAGTTACGCGAATTAATGATCTTGCTAAAGCAAGAATTGTGGATGAACCACAAAATGACCATCCCATAGGACTAAATATGGCCTGGACTTCACTTCAGACCTATCCTTCAGGACTCTACCTTGTCTAGTGAGTGAGCAAACTGCCCACCGGCTTCACACAGAGCAGCTTTGCTGATTTTTGTTTCCTTGAAACATATGGAACATCTCTCAAAAATGGCTTGTTTGCGTTTGTTTTGGTACTGGGGATTGAACCCAGGAGCACTCAACCTCTGAGCCACATTCCCAGCCCTTTTTTAATATTTTATTTAGAGACAGGGTCTCAATAAGTTGCTTTAGGGCCTCGCTAAGTTGCAGAGGCAGGCTTGGAACTCGAGATCCTCCTGCATCAGCCCCCCAAGGTACTAGGATTATAGGTATGCACAGCACCCAGGCAAAAAAAAAAAAAAAAAAAGAAAAAGAAAAAAAATGTTTTTTTTAAAAACATGGTTTCGGGCAAAGAAAAATAAAAAAGCCAAGAACAGTAACATTTTATTGAACAATTAATGCAGCTAACTTGATATCTACATATATGAAAATCTATGCACCAAGAAGCCAGGAACCTCTGTATGTTCCACACCACCTGAAAGTTTAGATATTTGTATCTTACATAAGGATTTAAAAATCTGTAGTCTAGGAAGGCTTCCTGGTCCCCACAGCTGACAATCCAGATAGGAAGAGATCATTGATAAACAGCTGTTTATCCAACAGGAATAACGGGGGCGAGACTGACGGGGAAGACAGGAGGGAAGCTTTTGTAAGACTTGGGCTGACTCAGCTCCGCAGAGGGGAGGGCCCTGCTGGGTGCTGGTGTGGGGCACACACACATCAACCAGGAGGACAGAGAGGTCCCTGTGGGCTTCAGAATGGAGGAGCAGACAGGCTCCACAGCCCAGGGAGAGCCTCAAACTGCCTTCCAGCATCCTCAGGTAGTGATTTCCCTCAAACAAGGTACACCCTGTGGGAGAGGAATCGTTCCACAAGTTGTCTTCCCAACTGACTGATATATTTCCATTCAGAGGACTGATTTAAGTTGTTTGCTCAGCCTTGTTTGAAAGGAAATAGGCATTAAAACAAATTATCCTATTATGTTGTTAGTTTAAAATCATTTAATAGGTATGATAGAAATAGCTTTATTAAAGATGATCTACCCGTGTTATTTTCTACAACCACAAATGAATGCTATAAATGGAACTTCTACTTAAAGGATTTTAAACCTTTGAGATAGTTTAGAGGGTCTATAGATGGACAGAGTCCATGTTTTGAATTTTAGTTCCATGTTGCAGTGGTATCAGTGTTCAATTGCGTTTTGGTACTTCCGGAGGTATTGTCGAAATGCATAAAGAGCCCAATGTCTTTTTCAAATATAAATCTATTGAATCTTTATATGAAAACAGATAAGGAATTTTTAAAAAGTCAGGCAGACTTTGGGAACTAGATTCTTCTGCTGGTACCACTTAATATTTTAAAATGTAAAATCATGGAACCTGTTTTTTGAAGAAATGCCCATCAGTGTCAATTTTAAACATTTGCCTTCAGACAGATTTTTAAACTGCTTTTTAAAAAGTCAAATATATTCTTTCATAACTTGGTTTCTTTGCAAGCTGTATTCTTGTCAACAGCAACTATTCAAACTGCCTTCAGTTCCTGCCCCCTCCCCAAGTGTCCCTTTAAAAGGTATGTTACAGATGTGTCCCTTTGCTTTGAAACAAGCTCATAATTCAGGAAGTAAACTTGAAAATATCTGAGCTCCAAAGACCTTGCCGATTTAACGTGGAGCTTAGCAAGAACTATAGCTAGAGCCAGGAAGGTGCAGCCAGAGCAGCTTTAGGCAAGCGTGGGTTGTATTTGATGTTCACAAAAGAATGGCAGTCGCAGGGTGTTGCTTAGTGCAGTTGCATTTCCAAGTTACCCACAGTGGTGTCTATTGTCCCGTCTCTCAATTTCGTGATGTCATGTTTCATTTAAGGCTCACAGTGATGCTGAAGTCTGTGGTCTGCACACTAGGGGGAAAAGGCAGTGAGAAAGTTGCAGATCAGGTTTTTGTAAAGCCTTTGTGTGCTGGGTTTGAGAGATAAAAGCTGACTCATGCAATATTTCCACGGAAGGCGCTGCACGGACTAGTAAAAGCTTCTCGTTTTACCTGACTGAGCACCCAGTGAGGTCACTGCACCAGGCAGACGATGTGCTTCAGCCGAAGTGGAGCACAGGTAGGTGCTAAAGTGAATTCTCCCAAGAAATGATTCGGGACTTGTTCCTTCCCTCTCAGAGCAGCCGGAGACAGAAAAGGTGCACAGCTTTGGGACTTTTGCAGGGGGGTTTCTTCGCAGAGCTGCAGAAGGACAGAAGCTGGGCTGGATGCAGCACAGATGTTCTGTTGCAAATTCCATGCACTGAAATCGGGCAATACAAGTTTAGAAGATGACTTTTTCCCCCCTCCATAGGAACTACAGTCTGTCTTTAACAGTTTTGTCTTGGTTTGGATCTTTCCTTAAAGTTAGGTTGAAACAACTGGAGAGTTGACTTTCAGACTCTGGGTAGAAGTCTGAGATCCTCAGTTATCCTGCACAACATTTTAATATGCTTTCTTTCTGAGGTTCGTGCAGGCTAACCTAGAGGAACAAAAGAAATGTGTGCAAATTGTATGCTTAGCAACTGCTGTGATGAAATGTAGTCTGTCTAGCGGCAACCAAAGTTGACTAAGTAAATGCAGTGTGCATTTTGAGTGTTTTGGGTAGGAAATACTTTTGTTAGTAGCAATGACTGAGGGGAAGGAGGCAGGGATTGTATTTGAAGCCGTTGTCTACTGGAATCTGATTTTATTAATTATTTGAATTTAGTGGTACTGTCATTTTTGAAAGGCAAATGGGGCATTCCTTCGGTTTATCCATAGTGAATAGAAAAATCATTTTCATTTAAAATATTTGATAGAGATAGAGGTTGTGATTTTAATTTCCTGAAGTAATTTTGCTGATTATAAAAACAACATGCTTACTGAAGAAAAGACATGTTTGCAGATACAGCAAAGGAAGAAAATTACCATTTCTACTTGGTAAAACAAATGTTAATATTGTATTATGCATCCCTCAGTCTTATTCTAATGTGGATAATTAAGTAGTAGTGTCTTAAATTCAAAATTAGAAGCATATCCTACATCTGTTAATTAAATCACCCAGTTTACTTAATTGTATATTCCAACCACTTCTTATACCTTTAAGGATTTAAAAAAACATGAAATGTAATCTTTTTACATTGTACCTTCCAGAAGGATTTATTTACTCTGATCTCTATTGTTAGACACTTCAATTTTTCTTCCTCCTTTTCCTTAAAAAAAAAAATGTTTAATGTACTTTGTGGACAGATTTATTTTCTCAGCGTGTTATTGTTAGTCGCTTGGAATTCTCTTCCTCCTCCTCCTTTTTCTTTAAGAAAATGTTATTTTGCTTAATGCCTCCCTCCCAATGTGCAGAGATGTTTTGGGAACAGAGTGTGTTCAATATAGATGGAGCTTGTGTATGTGGCTGTCATTGTTTAGTTGCTACTTTGAGACTATGTTTTCATCTAGCAGGAAGGTACTATTCAAAGTGAAGCTGGAACACAGAATCTTTTTTAGTCTCAATTAAAAATAAAGGTTTTTCTAGATTTTGGCAAAGCCAGTGGCGTATTTCAGCATCCAAAAGCTGGCATTAGCAGGATGTTGAAGAGAATCGCTACCGTGGGTTCCTGCTTGTGCCGGGAGCCCAGTGAGGAATGGGCACTGTGGTAAACCAGCCAGAGATGGGTGGATTGTTTCAGGGTTGCAGTCACTTCCTGAAGGTTGGATGGGACCTGGGAAAGCCATATAGTCCAGCTGTCTCACACTTACAGGCAGGAAGCTGAAGTTCAGACTCCACATGGATGAAGCAGTGCCAGGGCAGATATGTTCATCCTCTGACCAGAAGAGAGTATTATGTCATCATTTAACTTCTGATCTGTCCTCTCTGTACACACAGTTAGATACACACACACACACACACACACACACACACACACAGTGTAGGCCTTTTGGACACAGGGGTACCTATTTGCTTATGCTGAATTTTTCAATTCCTGATTCCTTAAGTTCTTTTTCTGCTCAATTATCTTATAAATCTAGATCCATGTACAAGAAACAGTGGACTAGATATCAGAAACCATGGTCTTTGATGCACACTTAAACTAAGCACTCTGTACCTAACCTCTCTGGGTTGCTTTTTTGTTGTCATTCATTTGTTTGTTTTTTCCATCTACAAAAATTTTTAAAAAGTAATGAAACACATGAAAGAACTTTGAAGTTGTTTGGTGGGGGGAGAGTAAGGACAATTTTAACGTAGAGTTATAGCCATTGTATTAGGGGAAGGCTACTTTGTTATATGGAGACTTGGGTTATCTCTTACTGTATAATAAATCGCCCCAAATCTCAGTGGCTGGCAGCGGTGACAATCATTAGAAATCCGTGAGTCAGGAATCCAGGAGATGCTGCCCCAGAGGATGTAGCACAGGTGCAGTCCACGCTGGCCAGGCTGGGCCATTCGGAAGGCTGCTCGCTGACATGTCTGGTACCTGGGCTAGAAACATTGAACAGCAGAGCCAGAAAAACTGGTGTCCATCCAGCGTCCCACTGCACATCAATGTGTCTAACCACCTGTCTGCTTCTCCTTGGCAGCTTCAGAAAACCAGACTATTCATGTGGTGACTCAGGGGACATCCAGCCCTAGCAACTAGAGGGCTCCTTCTTGCGTCCTAGTCTGCCAAGCTCTGAGCATTGGTGTCCTCCTCATAGTGGAGGCAGGATCCCTGCCATATCTGGATTCCAGTGTTACGGGGAAAGAATGTGGAAGAAAGATGTCAAATGTCTTGAGAAATGGACCCTCGATGGGCGTGTAGCATTTCCATTGGTGAAGCTCACCACATGGCCTTATCTAATGGCAAAGAGGCTGGGAAATGTGCTCAGCTGAAACTCTGGGTTCACTAAGGAAAAAGAGAGTGTGGATTTTTGGACCAGTAACAGTTTCCTCTGTAAGTGTAACACAACAGTTTAGAGTACCCCCAGGGTCCCCTTCATCTCTGGTGCTAAGTCACCACACAAAAGCATACACTAAAAGTAAAAGCAACTACATTTGCATAAAAGGCTTAGAGGAATTCCCTTCCGTTTCCTTTTAAGAAGACTGACTGGAGTCACTGCTTGGCTAAGGCAATTTATCTAAAACATTAGCTGCACTAAGCACTTACTTCATCCCTACCCTGCTGAGATAGCTGTTGGGTAAGGCTACTTTGTTAATATGGAGACTGGGGTTATCTCTTTCCATCGACTGGCATCTTAGTCCATTTGGGCTACTATAACAAAATTCCTTGAACTGGATAACTTACAAACAACAGAAATGTACTGCTTACAGTTCCAGAGGCCGGGAAGTCCAAGACGAAGGCTCCTGCAGGGGAGGTGTTTCATGCAGGCTTGTTCCTCCTTGATTGCTGCTTCTGTGTGTCCTCACGTGGCAGAAGGGGGTAATAGGCTCCTTGGCCTCCTTTTTAGGAGCACTAACCCCATTCTGGAGGATAGAGCCCTCAAGACATGATCACCCCTCAGAGGCCTCAAGTTCTGGGTGATTAAGTTTAAACATGGGACCTTTATATTTAGTATTAGACTTCATAGCTTAAAAGAATCTTTGCTCTTCTTTCAATCCCTTGCCTCTTATTTAAACAAAGCATTTTTGCAAAATATCTTCTCCAGTTCTTGATCCTCTTCTATCCCTATTTGCTTTACTAACTTTTCACTGGTAACGAGTTTGTTGTTGGTGAAGTTCAGCTCCTTTTCATATGGTCATTTATATGCCACATGATACCATTGTGTAAGGAATCTACCAGAAAGGTGGTTGCCAAGGGCTAGAGAGAGGAAGACACAGGGTGGTATTAGTGGAAGGAAACAGATTTCAACCATGCAATATAAGAGCACAGTGCTCTTCCTAACAATGCTGTATTGTATAGTTCAAACATTGCTCAGAGGGTAGGTTTTATGCTGTGTTCTTATTACAAAATAACAACAACAAAGACATGAGGAAGCTTCTGGAGATGATGGATATGTGTTCATGGCATAGATAGTGATGGTGGTTTCCTGGGCATGTACTTATCTCCAAATTCATCAAGTTGTGTTCATCAGCTATGTACTACTTTTTTGTATGTCAATTGTGCTAAAATACTTTTTGAAGTATTTATTTTGGAAAAAAAATTACAGAAAAGACGGAAAGATAGTACAGAGTTCCCATGAGCCCTTTATCCAGCTTCCCCCAATGTTACTATCTTATCTAACCATAGTACCTTGGTCAAAACTAAGAAATAACATTGTAACATGAGTTTTTCACTTCATCACCAAACAGCAACAGAATAAGTATGATAATCATGTTCCCTAAATTAAACACACTGAACATTAAAGAACATGGAGAATTCTAGTCCTGGTCCTGCCTTTTCAAAAGAAAAATCAACTTTAGTTGAAAAGCCAAGAAGTCAAGCAGAGCCTGATGGTGCACACCTATAATCCCAGCTACCCAGGAGGCTGAGGCAGGAGGATCATGAGTTCAAGGCCAGCCTGGGCAACTTAGCAAGACCCTGTCTCAAAACAACAACAAAAAGTCTAACTTGTGAAAACCCATGTGTTTTTGACAGCTTTTATGTCTCTATGACCAAAATATCTAATGAGAACAACTTAGAGGAGGGAAAGTTTATTTGGGGTTCACTGCCATTTCGGAGGTCTCAGTCCATAGATGGTCAACTCCATTGCTTTGGACCCCAGATGAGGCAGCACATCATGGGGTAATGACCCAGCAGTGGAAAGCTGCTCAGTTCCTGTAAGAGTCAGGAAGAAGCAGAGAGAGGGAAGGGTACGGAGCCACAGGGAAGATGCACATTTCCAGGGCACACCCCAGTGACTTACCAACCAATCAGTCCTTTCACACCAGAATGAACTGATTAGGCTAGAGTTCTCATAATCTTATCATTTTCCTCTGAATATTCCTGCATTAATAAGAGCTTTAGGGGAACCCCTTACAGTCAAATCATAACTCCATATTATCTGAGGCTTTTAAATATTGAGTTAGTAGATACAACTCTGGGGGGAGAGATACTCTCCTCAAATACTTAATGTTGTCTTTAAAACATATGAATGTGTATTTCTTAACGTTGACTCTTCATTTTTTAAAAAATTGTGAATTTGGTTGTTTAAAACGTTAAGGCTCTGCCAGAGGCTAGCTCTATATTAAATGACCTTTGCTAGCTGATTGAATAGCTTCTCGTTTATCCCATAGTCTTTCCGTAGCTTTCCCTCTTTGGCTAGCGCACAGGCCATGTAATAAGGAAGGACATAATTTTAGTTATTCACTAGTATTGAGGACAGTACATTCTCTAGATTTCCCTGGTTGTTCTGCCAAGGAACTCAGACTAGGTATTTGATGTCTGGAATAGCAATGAGCAGAATTTGGAAATCCTGATCCCTCCTCCACCCCCGCAGTGAGAGGAGTTTCTGTTTTTTCTTGTAGGTCACTCCTTGGGAGTTGTGACAGGGACTCACAGGCCATGGAGCCCACTGAGTCCCCCTTTCATGCATGAATGCAGTCACAGAAGGCCATGGGAAGTTACATGTCAAACCTAAATCAGCCCTAGAAGCAAGTGAGAGCCAGGAAGCACGGCTTGATTCTGGCACTAACATTCCAGAGGAGAGCAATTAAAATGATGGAAGTTGGAAGGGCACACAAAGAAAAGCCAAGGAATTAAAGTTACTTTGCCTAGAAAAAATTAGAAACGTGTTGTGAAGTTAAAATATGATACCTATAGGGAGCTGTTTAGCCATTTTTTTTCTTTTTACTAAAAATGGCACAAAAAAGGAAATGTCAGTGACTTAGCTAATTGGCACTTATAAGAATGACTGTGACCCTCAGGTGGGTCAAGCCAGCTTATTTGGGGGTTTTCCTGGTCAAAAGGTCTACCTGAGAAGTTCGATTGGCAATGTTTGGCAAGAAGTTCTCAGAAATTATTCTATTATTAGCCCTTTGCTTGGGATTTAGGAAGACGAGAATTTTTAAGAACAAGCAAATTATACAAGTGTTAATTTTTCACTCTAGGCAGAAGAAAAAGCTTTCTTGCTCTCCACTTTTCTCTCTGGTGTTTCAGTTTATCATAGAAAATCAGTAACACCAGTATCTATGACACAACAGCCATCTCCCAGATGGACCCCAGATGAGGTTTTAGTTCTCCTAATTTGTAACAATAGTTTGCATTAATAGATGGAGTTTGAAAAAAAAAAAAAAAAGAACAAACCAAGCTGAATTTTTCTCTCTCTCTATTCACAATAATAATAGTGGATTGTTAATAATAGTGAACAGAGATTGATATGGTCAACTTAAATCTTACATAATAATGTAATAACCTAGAAGATCTCTGCATCACATTGTCCAACTAAACTATCTGTGAGCCACATAGATATTTTATTCTCGAGTAGTCACATTTTTAAAAAAAGTAAAATGAGATGTGAAAATAAATTTAATAAGATTTTTTTTCAATCACAGTTCCAAAATATTATTTCAGCATGTAATTAATATAAAAATGATTGAGTTGTGTTTTGTAATTTTTGTTCCATATTATGTCCCTGAAGTCTAAGGTATATTTTACACCTAGAGCACATCAAAGTTTGGACTGGCCACATTTTAAGTGCTCAATAGCCATGGGTAGCCAGTGGCCACTTCACTTAGCAGCACACCTCTAAAGATAAATATTAATAATTGGCAAATTGTATTAGAAAGAATAGTCCAGACAGGGTGGAAATCTTAAATTATTTTGAGGGAAGTGAGAACAAGACTAGACGGTTTTTATGAGGTACATTTCCTTCTATGAGAAAACTATAATTATCTTCTAAGCAATGACTCAACATAAAAAATGTTATCCATTAGCAAATGCAGTCTCGTATTACATGATATTATTCAACCTGACTTTAAATGTCCCACTTCTGTCATTGGCAATTTTGGAAAGTATTTAGTTTGGGGCAGTAAATTTGGCTAATGCTACACATACCAAATATCTGCAATATTTGATTTTATAAAGTGCCTAATTGGCAACCTGAATAATAGATGGCTTCCAGTGATCTCAAGTACATGGCCTGGTTTTGGAACATATGAAGGCTTTTCTGGAACAGTACCCAATTCATGTTGCTGTTTGATTTATCCACAAAGGCATCCCCTGTTGCTCTAAGTTTCACATCCGACTTTTTCTCAGCTTCAAAAGTCATTTTTAAAGCAATACCATCAGTAGCAGGCCAACACGGTCTCCTTTGAAAACAATTTTTATTCCTCTTTAAACCCTGGACAGCCCATATTGTCTACCTTGGAGTAAGTAGATAAAAGAAATGAGTCTCTTTGTTGGGTTTATTTTTGGTTGTCCTGATAATAAGTACACTGCCAAGTGTTTTGTAACTGTGTTAAAAAGTTTCCTAGACTAGAGGAAGACTAATTCTTTCCCAGTTAGGAAATTAGAACTTGCCCTGGAGATCAGCCTATCCAGATCTGTGAGGGTAGGTTGTTTGATCTAGAACTTTCCAGATGTCCTTGCCTTTTATGTTGAGTGCATTCAACTTACATTTGGTCTTAAATCATAGCCTCATTTGACCCTTGAAACCTGAAAGAATCCTTCGTTCTTCCCATTCCCTATGGTGAACTCAATCTCAGGGTTATGGTTATGGTTATGGTTATGGTTATGGTGGAGGCCCAAGGGAAGAAACTCATTGCATCTGTTCCTATTTTGAGCTGCTCAGGACTTTCCTAACACTAGTCCTGCACATGGGCAAGTGTCGTCTGCATGCCCAAATGCCTGGCTGCTTCTCAAACTTTTGCCACACTCAAGTTGGATCAAGCTTTTTAGGTCAAGTGCATTTTAACTACTGGCCAATCCATGTTTTATAGGCCATAAAGTTGTTACAGAGCAAACAAAAAAAAAAACAATTGCAAAAGCTTTTAAAATCGCAGCAAACTCATACCATGTGTTAGCAGTTATGCTGATAAATTGCTCATTTCCTACAATTTCTTACCATTCTATCTTGTGAACCCAGAGTTCCTTTATTTTATATTCATAATTTTAACATTTTCTTCATACATTTGCACTAATATTTGCCATGAATCTAATCTAGAAAAACTCAGTATGTTGAAGGATTTTGATGTTTGTTTTTCTTTGTATCAGGATTGAACCCAGAAGTACTTACCCCCAGAGCCACATCCTCAGCCCTTTTTATTTTGAGACAGGGTCTCAGTTGCTTAGGGCCTCACTAAATGGCTGAGGCTGGCTTTGAACTTGCAATCCTCCTGCTCCGCCTCGGACTCGCTGGGATTACAGGCATGTGCCACTGTACCCAGTGAACTCTTCATGTTCTAAAAATAATGGTGCCAGTGGTTTGAACTCTATTATAGAATCAAAACAAACTTACATTCCCCTTGAAAACTGATCATTAATGTATATTATTGTTAATGTATTCTCATAACCTTCCAAACATAAATTTCACTCCTTTCCAATAAAAACACATAAACATGGATTCGGATACTAAGGTAACCTGCCCAAATGAGCAAATATCATCATCAGTCACATTCTTTATCACAGGTCATATCGTCTCTATATACCTGGAATGTCATTATTTTAGGGGTAAAAAATGTTGATTCTGCTTTATGGAATGAAGAAGCTTGAAACGTTGAGTATTCCATCAGAACAGCTCTGAAAGTTTAATTTGCATGAGAGCCTTTGGGACCCAGGGTCATTTTTAAGTGCTGTGGGTATTGAGCAACCGTCTGACCTGGTGGATAGACATGCTTTCTTATAAATGACAACAGCCTGTTTCTCCTAAGTGTTCTTGTAATTTCCTTCTATACTTATTTGTATACTTACTAATGGGATGGGGGTCTTTAATTTGTTTGTTTTTCATGCCTAGTATTAGAAAATTATCTTGATGTGTTGCTTCTTTAGTGTTGTGTACAGTGAAATGTACAGTTGTTGGTGTCACTTAGATCCTAATACTTCCAGGAACCTTGCTTAATATTCTTTGAGATTGTGGTGAAAGACTTAAAAATCTCCAGTGATAATCCTCAAAACTCTGTAAGAATCATGGAGGGTGCTTTTTTTTTTTTTTTTTTTTTTTTTTTTTTTT